AGGGTTTAATTTCTCTCAAACATACTTAGTATTAGGGGAGGAGGAGTGGCTAGACCTTGGCCTATTTAAACGGTTAACTTAACGGAAGTGATATATTGAAATGGGAGGGGAGAAGAGAGAAAAGAAAAAGGAAAAAGAAAGAAGAGGCAAGTAAAGAGACAGAGACGGTAAATGGTTTTACCTATGAAAATATATATATATATATATATATATATATATATATATATATATACAATAATTTATTTTTATGTGGCACCATGTCGAAAGTAAGGAGAACCTAGTGAGGATCGAACTCACTATTCAGTACTAATTCATCTGGTAAAGGCAACCTTGCTAACAATTGTTAATCGCTTCAAAATGCATATATATATATATATATATATATATATATATATATATATATATATATATATATATATATATATATATATATATATATATATATATATATAGAGAGGAGGGAGGGAGAGAGAGAGAGAGAGAGGGAGGAGAGAGAGAGGAGGTTTTCAAATTTTCATTATTATCGTACAAGTTCTTGCGTTGAGCCTGAAAGTACACTATTCTCCCCATTGAATATCGCTTTGTCCAGCCAAGTCATGTGGTTTATTCACTAAGCCATTTCGTGCGTCTCCATAAATTACACCCAGAGTTAGCCTCCGTTTAAGCGCTTGGCTCTTTTCAAGCTAGCAATATAAAACTGCCATCAAATGCCACTAAAGCTAAGGTCCATCGATGGAACGCCTGATCGCAGTGTTTGAAACCGAAAACGTTCACTGACAACTACTTAGATGACTCGCTCAACAATGGCAATGATTTACCGTTTATACTGATCACAAAACTGACCAAAAAGTGGAAAGGGCCTGCGTTGTAATTCTGTTGTTATCAATAATTTATAAATTTGTATGTTAATGTCATATACTTGGTGGAGATCGAGTGACCGCAAAATTTCTTTAAAGCCGCCTGAATCCTCACGTATGTCAACATTGACAAAATGTGGACGGTCTTCGTTCTTGTATTATCATTTCATGTCTTTGACATTGCTACACTTACGACAAAATTTGGAGATCAGGTTTTACACAGTTTTCTCGCGACGTTCTGGCATTTTGCTTTTAACTCTTCTTAAAATAACACGAGACAAACATGCGAAACACGATATTTAAATTTAAAAAATTTAAACTGGAGAAATCGGAAAAAAATGATCGTCTTGAAAATGTCGAATACTGTTAGCCAAAAGAAAATTTTTGAAAGGATCAATAAAAATTATTTTTTTCGCACACACTCACACACACACACACACACACACACACACACACACACACACACACTCACACACACATATATATATATATATATATATATATATATATATATATATATATAGAGAGAGAGAGAGAGATAGATAGATAGATAGATAGATAGATAGATAGATAGATAGGCAGGCAGGCAGGCACGGTGGAGTAATAGAAAGTGGCTTGGATTGAGGGATCGCAGAGCCGAGTTCGAATCCATTACATTCACTTCCGTGCTAATACCCTTGGGAACGGTGTGAATCCTCTTCTTCTCCCTCCAGCTATGGGTAAATAGCAGGGCAGACTGGGTTCCATAGCCTTGGATGGCAACTGGTCTAGGAGAAGGACAACACTGAATTCAAAACCTGCGGAGGGTCGTTTGGGGACCTTGTGGCACGTAGTGCACAAGGTCTCTGTATTCGGCCCTTCAAAAAGTGTGGATGGTCCTGCACGAAACCTTCACCACTATAATCAAATCCCATGTGCTGTTGTCAGGCTGTCGGTTTCCTGGGAACTGATCTGCTTGACCCTCATACGTCGAATTCGACGGGAGAGTCGACTATATATATATATATATATATATATATATATATGCACATTTTACTGAATACAACAATGTGATTTTCTTTAGTTTTTTATACAATTTCTTATGTGATCTAATAATTTTTATTTCTATTCAGATGGTAAATTATATAAAAATTGTCCGAATGTTCTTTTTATCCGAGCGCTTTCGGCTATACATTTAGCCATTTTCAAGAATTAAATATTTTAACTGTTAAATAAGAAATAGTTTGTTGCATGTATGTTTTATAAAATGTTTTCATTTTTCAAAACACGGTCAAGATATTGTGTCCATGTTCATAGTTGATATTATTAAGTGTGTTTTTTTTGTTTTTTTTATTAATAAGGCTTCCATTATTTTTAGCCTTTTTAGCAAAGGCTAATTGTCAACAAGTATGTTACGAAGTGACCGGTAGGTCCCCATGAATATTTAAATGAGATCTAATTGAGCTATAGTCAGAAACTTGCAGAGTGAGTCTGTGTGTCAAACATGTTGTAGTGTGACCTATATAATTATTTACGAATTTTGATTGATCAGGAATACTATTCCTTAATGGTTATTTAAATTCGTAAATACTATTTGCTCGGATAAATGAACATTCGGACAGTTTTTATATAATTTATCATCTGAAAAGAAATTTTGGAGATGGACGCTGTAACAAGAACCAGTTGGAAAATTTGTTTAGGACCGGTTCACATAGCCACAATCTCAAGATCCGTGACGTCTTCATTTCTTTGTAATTATTTGATCGTTTGTATATGGGAACTGGTCGGTATATCAAAACCCAATGCATCTTGTTCTAAGTTACTCGTATAGAACAGTTTTCTCTTGCTCTATTACAACCTTTTCAAAAGGAAATATTATTATTACTGTTTTTAGGCGAAATTGTAGTTGGTCAACAAAGTAACGCTGAATCTCAATGGTGAGATTTTTCGTTTTTCAACGAGGAAATATTTGGCATTCATTGAGAGAACAGCTACCGTTATTTTCGGTTCAAATTTCCCTTAAAGCACTTTTGCTGTGAAATAAGTTTGTCAAATCCAGCAGCTCTTACCGCTCTATTATTGATTGGCCGTAGACCTTCTACTGGAATCTTTTCCATCCAATCCGAAGACTCCAACTACAACAGGGATCGTTGATGTTCTCATGTGCCACATTTTGGAGATTTCAATTCCAAGGTCTTTTTATTTTGATAGCTTTTTGAAGACCTTCAAAGATACATTGCATTTTTTAGGGGCTGCCATATCAATAAGGAGGCAATTTTTGTTTTCGGCCTCTGATAACGATGTCTGGGTGATTAGCATTGATTTTTCTGTCTGAGTGTATTTTTTAGTACCATAAATTTGTTACAGGTGCTATCACCGTAACTGGGTCTGGGTTGTGTTCATACCTACTCGGTATGAACACTACCCAGTTATCCGAGTAGGCCTGTGTACCCTACATCTGTAATTTATCCCAAGAATCTTCTTCTCATAACAGGAAGAAGCCGATTCAATCCGCCCAGGGTGAATGCCGCATCAGTACAGTAGTACAGTAGTGTTCATACCAATTTCTTTCCGTTTCCTTCCCGTTGAAGTTGCAAATTTTACAGTGTAGATATTGGCCCACTCTGTCATGACGGGTTTTTATTCAGTGGGTGTCAATATCGTGCAACCCGATACAAGATGATCAATCGTTTCTGGATATTTATCACAGAATCTGCATTTTCTGCTAAAGCAATATTTTAGTATGTGTACTTAATAATTTCTAGTTAATAAGCATTGGTCCTGTGCAGAAAGGATAAAACTTTCGGTTTCAGCTTCTACCCTGCACTACGTAACCACCGATGGGTACGGAGGGGTTTTTTTTTCCATCAGCTTGTTTGGTACGGGCAGAGTATTGACCGTGACTCTGTTTATCTTGCCATCGTTTCTGTATCTGGTCGGTTGCATTTGCTTTTGCTTTTATTATTACTGTTTGCTTATTATTATTATTATTATTATTATTATTATTATTATTATTATTTCCTTTGATTTCTGGCGTTTACACATTTCTTTCCGGGTCACGTCCAGGGACCTAAGTTTAGAAATTGCATCATGACATTTCCACTGGAAAAAAAAATTACATGGACAAAGCCCTTCGTAAGGTGAGGGCTGTACCCGTGAGAACATTCTTTTTTATTTCTTTAAGGCATGGGCTTCCAGGGATCCCTTCAATTAGTCTACTGGCATCTTTTCCAACCAATCCGTGCGCTCCAACTATAACGGGGATTATTGATGTTCCCATGTGCCACATTTTTGAGATTTCCATATTATTATTATTATTATTATTATTATTAAGTTTGTTGAATACGCTAACTCAAATGTTTGTGATTTTTACGACCCCACGTAAAATAAAAAAAAAAAAAAAAAAAAAAAAAAAAAAAAACAGAAAACGAAAGATTTGAATTTAGATTTTTTTGGAAATTAAAAATATTTAAAAATGGCCCGTATATACGTAGCCACAAATTCACCTTAAAAAAATCTCTGTGTTAATAAATAAAAATTAAGAAACAAAAAGCAGGCAATTAATCAGAGTCATTATTAAGATATCTCGATAATTTAACCCATGTTTACTCAAACGTTTATTTACACGCATGTTTTTCGGAGTTATATTTTAGGAAAATGTATGCCACACGCCTTTAATTGTTGGGGAAAAATCACCGTTTTGTATTCCCCAAATGCACGTCATTCTATTAAGGTAGCCTTGAAGAAAGAAAACAAATCTTTAAATTGGAAAGAAAATGTCTCTCGCTGTAACAGCCGACCTTTAACCTGTCCACCGTTTACACTTCTCTTGCTTCTACAGAAAATTGCAATCACTTCATGAACAGCCGTCTTGCTAGTTGACAGCAAATTATACGAACAATCTCTGGGTCGAGACAAATCCGGATCTCACATTCATGTTGAGCCAGTCATTCATTTTAGACGAAGGAGCAAAAGTAGTTAAAAGGAACGGCTTTCAATATTTTATCCGTGTTTTTCATTTAGATTCTTTCAGTAAATATCTTTTTCTTTCTTTCATAAAGCTTCTTGTTTTCTAGACAATTATAGTCTGAGTCCATGTCTGTCTTTCTTTTAATTTTTGTTTCCTAGACAATTAGACGGTTTCTTGTATTTGTTTATTTATTTATGTATTGCTCGCAAATTACAGTTCCTTTTCTTTCTCTCTATCTTTTCTTCCTTCCTTTCTTCCTTCCTTTCTTTCTTTCTTTCTTTCTTTCTTTCTTGTTCCATTAGTTATACGTCCCCGTATTTATTTATTTATTGTTCCATAGCTATGCGGTCCCCGTATTTCTTTCTTTCTTTCTTTCTTTCTTTCTTTCTTTCTTTCTTTCTTTCTTTCTTTCTTTCTTTCTTTCTTTCTTTCTGCTAGACAATTATACAGCTCCTTGTCTATCTTTTTTCTTTCTTTCTTTCTTTCTTTCTTTCTTTCTTTCTTTCTTTCTTTCTTTCTTTTTGCTAGACAATTATACAGCTCCTTGTCTATCTTTTTCCTTTCTTTCTTTCTTTCTTTCATCTTTCTTTCTTTCTTTCTTTCTTTCTTTCTTTCTTTCTTTTTTTCTTTCTTTCTTTTTTTCTTTCATTTCCCTAGTCAGTTACACTGTCCCCGGTCTTTCCTTCCTTCCTTCTTTCTTTCTTTCTTTCTTTCTTTCTTTCTTTCTTTCAAGTGAAGCTCTTGATATTTTTCATGCTCTCTATGCGTATTTCCTTTTTTTTTATTTATTTCTTCGTCTAAAGTTTTACTTAATCCTTTGTATGACGATAAACTACATCCAGGCTTCTGATAGGGAAATTAGAGTTTTTGAGGATCATAAACTCACCTCTTAATTGCTGTTGTTCTCAGGTTCAACCTAACCCAGGGTGGTAGCACCTCTTAGGGTCGAAGATCTAGGCGAATAGTGACCCCCACCCGCCAAAGAAAAACAAAACACTACGAAAGTATAAAAATACATTTTTATAGTAAAAATAACAGCAATACATTTTTATGAAAAAAAATTATTAACAGTCCAGTTTTGTATTAAAAGTACTAGGAATACATTTTTATAAAAACAAAAATGACGAATATCTATTTATATCTTTGAGATGAGGTATTATGATCTTTTAAATTATTTACATTATTTGGACTGCTATCCTCATCTTCATTGAGATAGTCACAACGTTTCGGACGTTATACGCTCCCGCCTTCTCCTGGTGAAACAAAAATCTTGGCGAGTTGAGTTAAAGGGAAATAAGTGAAACATTCGGAAGAGACATGGCTCGTGGAACTAGAACAATCTACACCGGTGTACGAAATAAAGGGTTCGGTTTGAAATTCCAACGTTGTGAATATGACAATGAAGATAAGGATAACAGTCCGAATAATGCAAATAACAATGAGTAACAATAGTTTTTTTTTTTTTTTTTGGTATAGCAAAATGACTAACAATAGATTTTGATAGCAAAATGACCATCAAAACATTTTCGTAGTAAAATTTAAAACATGTCATATATTATCAAAACGTTGCTATGATTAATCTAATTTCCTGTGGAAGACGAAACAGGTTTTCCCAGCTCGTTTGATTTTGTAAGATTCCCAGCTTAAAATTATATAAAAAATATATATATTTGAGGGCATATAATTGCGTTCAATATATATATATATATATATATATATATATATATATATATATATATATATATATATGTTTTTTTGGTTGTTGATGTTTTGGTATTTCATTGTTTCGTCCCCAAGAAAGGAGGCAATACAAATACAGGGACTCACAAGAAAAGTGAAAGAGAATAAGAAGACTGAGAATGAGGCGGGGGGTATTGAAGAAAGAGCAAAAAGTGAAAGATTTTCAAGACGACAAAAAATGGCGATTGACATTGCATTGAAATTGTAGTTAACAGGGAAGCAAGAAAGCGGAAAGGAGCTTCACAGGTGAGAAGTACGAGGAAAGAACCTGTTAGAGTAGTAGTAGCGGTTGTATCCAGCTAGTTCAACCCCAAGCAAGGCGATAATGGCACTAGGACGCAGGGAATCAAAAAATGAAAGAGAACGAGAAAACTGAGGATAAGGAGGACTGGTGAAATGACAAAAAAGAAGAGGGTTCGAGAAATAATTAATGCTCCATTTAAATTTTAGAAGATTGTAGTTATCAGTGAGGCAAGAAATCGGAAAGGATTTTCACAGGTGGGAAGTACAAGGAAAGAGACTGTTAGAGTTGTAGTGGCGCTTGTATCTAGCTAGTTCAAGGCCAAACAAGGCGATAATGGCACTAGGACGTAGGGTGTTACAGGGAATCAAAGTGAAAGAGGACGAGATGACTGAGAATGTGGAGGATAATAGGAAAGGACGAAAAAAGGAACAATGTTCAAGTTGACGAAATAAAGCGATTGATGTTCCATTTAAATTTATGAAGATTATAGTTATCAGGGAAGCAAGAAATTGGAAAGGATCTTCACAGGTGGGAAGTGCGAGAAAATAAACATTTAGAGGAGAACTAACTATTTCGAGATTATAACGGTGAATCCTAGTTGCCAATCTAGCAGTACGCTTAAATTCATGTAATCGATACACCGGGGAGGGACTCATCAGAACAGTTACCATGAAAATATTTGTAGAAAAGACAGAGGGAAGATACGCCATGTCGGTGAGAATGTGGCTGAAGTCGAGATTCATGGTCAGGATCAATTACATTACAGACACATCTTAAAATTTTGTCAGTAATCGAGAGATGGACGATACGAGCCACAGACCAGATATGGCAAGAGTATCCAATGCACGGACGAATGGTAGTTTTCTGAATGCGCAAGATGGATTTTGACGGGAACAATTTTCTGGCATGACTCAGTGAACCAACCTTCCTCGCAGCAGACGAAGCAACGGATTCGATATAGTGACTCCAATTCATGCTAGTAGAAAACAGGCGACCAAGAAGGTGTAGAGTGTTACTTCACCTGGAGTTTAGCATGAGCCACCATGATGGTAGGCAGAAAAGATTCTCTGGTGATTAAATGAAAGCAGTTTTATTTCAGAGACGTTGAAATTTACAAGGCATTTTTTGACACCAGTTCGCCACCAATGGAGGTCATTTTCAAGAGCAGTTGCCAAGTTTACTATTTTGAGTCAGAACTGATACTAAGACAGGAGTAAATAACTACCTAGTTGAAAACTGATGACATCGAGGAAATCCTTGATGATAATCAGAATCAGGGAAAGTGCAAGCATAAAGTCCCGAACGATCACACGTTAGTAAGAAATGATCTGGAAGTGTGTCCGTTCAACATAATCTGCCCTGTCGGCTAGAGCTTCAGAATAGGCCGACTGCGCCTCTAACGTGCCGTCCTGGGTATGACGATGAACTATATCCGACAGCAACGCCTCTAGTCAGGAGGATTTGAGGAGCGTGGAATCAGCTCTTAATTGCTGATGTTCCTAGCTCCACCCTGACTCGGGTGGTACCACCTGTTATGTTCCCAGCTATTGCTGTACGTCTCCAGGTCCTTGACAAATAATTAGATGCTGATCTGGCATCTATTCTACAATCGCTATCCAAGAGACGTGCCGTGGCCTCCCTCTGTCTACAAGTATTTTCATGGCAACTGTTCCGATGAGCTGCTTTCGCTGTTTCCCAGACTGCATGAATTTAAGCTAGCTACTGGGTTGGCATCTCGGTCCCACCCTTTCACTGTCAAAACGGTTAAATATAACCGTCTCTTCTTCCCAAACATCTTCTTTTCCCGTACTTCCCGACGGTGGAACTCACTTACCCTTAATTGCTTTCCCGATTACTATAATCTTCAAATATTCAAGTGTAATGTCAATCGACATCTGACACCCTGAGCTTGTTCCTTGTCCTTCTCTTTATCCTTTCCTCAAACATGTCTTTTTTTTACTCTTGTTCTCAATCCTCTGTAACCCCTTATGTGCTAGTGGCACTCCCGCCTTGGTTGGGGGGAATTGTTTTAAAAAAATGTTAGCACCCATACTGGGGTCAAAATACTATGAAAGTGTAAAAATTGGTTTTATTACCAGCAATACATTTTTGCAAAAAATCGTTATCTGCTAACAAAGTCTCAAGTAACCCATTGAGGTTAATATGCCGTAAAACAAAACAAAACCTAACCTAAACTATCAACATGACCTTGAATAAAGGATTTGTTAGAACGACTGGATTAAGCCAAATATTCGTCCGCGTGATACCGTAGCCCTTGAACTTGTGTAGAAGGCCAGCGTGTCAAACATTGTCGAATATCTTGGTGATATCAAAAACCATAGCTTGAAATTCGCCATTCTTATCTAAAGCTTTATAAATTCATCCAGTGATGGTCGTTATAAAGTCAATCGCAGAACTGGCGAAAAGGAAGCCATATTGTTTGTCCGTAAAGTGGTCATGTGAAGTAAGATACTGAACCAATTCGCCATTAATTACAGCCTTGAATAATTTGCCCAAAAGAGCTAAGTGTATAATAGGACCATAATTTGAGGATCAGATGGTTCCTAGAGTTCTTAAAAACATGCACTACAGAGGAAGACTTCGAACAAGCTGAAAATCAGGAAGTAGCGAGGCATTTCTAGTAAAGTTTAGAGAGAACAGGAGTCAGCTCAGAAGCCCATCTCTTTAGGGTGTCGGCAAGATTACCGTTACATCCGCTTGTCTATTTAAAAATGATGTCAGAAACCAGTGGTGGGTTATGCGCATATCCCTCAGCATCCCCCCATAGGTATTGGGAACTTATAGACACATGGCTTGAATATTGCGTTTAAGTATGAAACAGACTATCACCGCTGAGTGTTAACCTCAATGTCCACTTTATTTACATGATCTCTTTCCCTAATAGGGCACATTTTAACCCGTAAATATAGCATAACATTTAAATATATTTTCATCATCATCATATATATATATGTATATATATATATATATATATATATATATTCAATTCAAGAAAGACATTCGGATTACTAACACAAAAACAGAGAATGTCTTATATCGAGAATGTTTAACATTGAAAAACATAAGGGACAAAAATTAATTATCTTTAATAATATGTGGAAATCTCCGCTTTTACCTGAAGACGGTCGCAAGACCAGAAACACGTGTAGTAAAATTATGGAAAATAAAGCATAATATTAAAAAAAAAAAAAAGAAAAAAAGAAATCCACATTACAACCAAAAACGCTTGCGGCACCTCTCTTCTCTTCTTTTCAATATACACTTTTTTCTCGTTGGAACCACAATAAACTTTCTTATATATATATATATATATATATATATATATATATATATATATATATATATATATATATATATATCATTACTTTAAGCGTTATTGTAGAGGACACGTCTTATTTAAAACTGAGGACTCATTTTATAATATATATATACATATATATACATATATATATATATATATATATATATATATATGTGTGTGTGTGTGTGTGTGTGTGTGTGTGTGTGTGTGTGTATTTATGCGTGTTTGTGTGTGCATGTTTCTGTGTGTGTATGTGTGTATGTGTGTTTGAATCTTGCGTTCCTGTGATGTCACTCTTGGCTGTGTGGGGCGGGTGTATGGTTGTGCGTGGGTGGGTATGCGTAGAAACTTTCAATATCCTTATTATTTCCTCCATATTAATAAGGCAGGCACATTCTAAAACTACAAAATAACAGAAAAAAAAAACAATGACATTAATAACAATCTAATATTACCTACTAACTCCGAAACATTTTATCCAATCTAGACAATATGAAAATAATTATGATCACATCAAAATCTGTAATAGATATCATCAGAACCAAAAAATTCCTATAACAATAATAATTTTAAAGCAGTTATATATAGAATTAATTAATGGTATAATAAAATATACAGTCTTAACTGATCCTTACAATATACTGGGACAACTTGCCGAAATTTTAAAAAAATGTGAACACAAGAAGGATTTTATGAATAACAGTCTATCAAATTCATTAGTCTTACATAAGAACAACTACAACTTCGGTCACGAGAATATCCTATTTATTAAAAGAGAAAGAGGCATCCCGACGTGGCGCAATGGTTAGCAAGCTTGTCTCGCTAAAAAATTACTGAGTAGTAACGTTCAATCCTCACTGCGTGCTCCATGCTTTGGGTTATGTACGATATCTAAACTACGTTTAGAAAATAACCTAATTAAAAGAGGAAATAAATTACTGAGAAAGAAAATTCTAGAGCATACCAATATCGAATCTTACCAAAGTATAAATCTGACCCTATAGTTTTTCCAAATATCTCTTTTTCTATGCAATATGCTCTTTTCAAAAGACAATATACAAGGCCATTTTTTTTGTTTTTTAATGGTAAATTCAAATCCAAAGGCGGACATTATTTAAAATAAATAATACATAAAAATTTTACCAAATTAAAATAAAAATAATAAATAGTAATTAAAATAAAACAGGATAAATCAGCATCAACAATAACAACATTAAGTCATGTGCAAAGACATCACTACCAACTAAAATTGGCATTAAGTACAGAGAAATCATGTCATATTTTGTAAAGAAATAATGACAAAATTTGTGCCATTTTTTTAAAAAATGATTTTCCGGTTTAAAGATCTGGTTTTATAATAATATCTTTTGATGGTTACGCTCGACAATTTGGTAGCAGATGTCATGTGTGTGTGCATATATACACACACACACACACACACACACACACACACACACATATATATATATATATATATATATATATATATATATAAAATATCCGAAATTGTACTAACATTCATAAGCAACTACTGTAGGTTTCTCTGAATTGATTTTGAGTATGTTTCCACAGATTTTGCTTGCTTTTCAACTATAGTAACATTCGAAATTTCAAAGGCAGGTCCATGACATTTTTTCTATTCCTTGATATCCTCACTAAATCTATTATGCTTACTTGATATATCACACTTTCTACATATACTTCACTTCCTCTCGTTCAACGTCTTAATTTTAGATTACACCCTCGAGGTATTTGGATTTTTCTCGAAACTTCGTCGTGTATGCATTACACGCACACACACACACACACACACACACACACACACACACACACACACACACACACACACACACACACACATATATATATATATATATATATATATATATATATATATATATATATTATTGTGTGTGTATGTGTGATTGCTGTCCATCCGATTATGAACACTTTCTTAAATTGACCGTTGGTTTCCTTAGCTGCTTCATAGAAGAAAGTAGCAGTAACTCATAGAGAATTTAGTGATAGACTTTTGTAAAACATGACTCTCTGAGCATCTACTACAATAATCCATTTGGCAAGAACTCTCAAGACGGTTTGTAGGTCTATATCTCCTTATTATGCAACACATCGTACGTGGGGACGAAGAAAGGGTTCCATAAATACCAAACAAACCTGTGACTGCAGAAATATCCATGTTCACTAAACAGTAAAATTAAAGTAATATCCAAACTGCACTATATATATATATATATATATATATATATATATATATATATATATATATATATATATATATAAGTATAACATGAATACAAGAAAAATAGAACAAAATATACATCTTCACTAAACAGTAAAATTAAAGTAATATCCAAACTGCAATATATATATATATATATATATATATATATATATATATATATATAATTATAACCTGAATACAAGAAAAATATATGAGGGTATCAGAGGGCTCTTGGGAGGAGAGTATCTACTCACAAAAACGAGTTGGAATGGAAATGTTTTGTTTTTTATTGTCCAAATACGGTCGCGGTAACCTCAGAATACTCAGCGTAAAAGTAACCGCTCTATTCTGGCTATTCACCTATGAACACTATCTGTAATTGATTAAACTACGAACACGGACACAATGTGTTGAGAACTGAAAAAAAAGACTTTACTAAGTACTTAAAAAAACATCCTTGATAACGGCTAACAGCATAGCTCAAAGCGCTACACACACACACACACACACACACACACACACACACACACACACATATATATATATATATATATATATATATGTGTGTGTGTGTGTGAAACCCGGGGTCACAAACTCACATCTATCCAACCAAATATGTTAGCTCTATCTCTGATATTGAGCGCTTTTAATAAGTACCATGTATATAATATATAAATAATTATACATACTTATATTTATTTATATTTATATACACTTTTCACACACACACACACATATATATATATATACACGCCATAAATAATACACGTATATATATATATATATATATATATATATATATATATATATATATATATATATATATATATATATGAATATATATATAGACATATATATAAATATGTTATAAACATATATTGTAAACATATATATATCTATATAGAGAGAGAGTGAGAAAGAGAGAAAGAGAGCGAGAGAGAGAAAAAGAGAGAGAGATATATACGCGTATATCTATTTATGTGAGTCTGATTAAAATAAGTGCCCAAGATCTCTTCTGCATTCGTAAAAAGCCCCCAAGATGTCTCCAACTTCGAATGTCAATGATGCTTGACACTGCAACGACACGAGGACAGCTAAAGTTAGATATAAAATGTTATTGTATTACTGTAACCTTCAGATTCGATATTTTCTGTCGAGTTTATTGTTCACGACACGACTCTTACTCACTAGATTTACGCTTTCGAACTCATGACGCGAAATTGTTTTCGGGGAGGCGTTTTATTTATTTAGTGACGAAAAAGTTACGAAAGGAATCGGATTCTTTCGCATGCCACATTTGCAAAAAGTTACAAAGTTGGCTAATATTCATTGCCGGACAATGTCATTGAGTATTATCAACAATTCAAAGATATTTTCTTCCGACATATCTATTCATTGTACCAATCTATCTGACTCTCTTCCTATCTATCTATCTATTCAAGAATATCTATTTTATATATTTCTATTTATCTAAATCTATTCAAGTGTATCTATCTATCCCAATCTATTCAATATCTACTTATATCTCAGTATATTCTATCTATCTATCTATCTATCTATCTGATATATATATATATATATATATATATATATATATATATATATATATATATAAGGCATAAAAAGCAAGACATTTTATATTATAGATCATGATAGATTTAAAACAATAACACACACCAGTCGACTCGTTATAATTATTTTTTCTCCTGTGCACTCATTCATGTCATCCATGACAGATTTTTTTTTCTTCATAATTTTAGTTCCTTGTTAACGGTTCTGATGAGAGGGGGCGAAACCGGTCGACTGGTGTGTGTTTTTGTTTTAAATCTATAATGACCTATAATATAAAATTTCTTGCTTTTTTATGCCTTAATACGTTTCTGTACTGTTTCAAACATATTTATATATATATATATATATATATATATATATATATATATATATATATAGATAGATAGATAGATAGATAGATAGATAGATATTGGAAAGCCGTTGTCTCATAATTCTTTTGCAGAGTGATTTTTCAATTGTTGTGGGTAATTCTTTTCGCCACGAGGGCTAAAGTTTACTATTATTTTTACGGGTACAGATAAAGCGCTGCATGTTTAGGAAATCTGAATTAAAACCAAGAATTTTTGCATTTATTTTCTAACTTTGGATATATATGTCCTGGACGAATTAAGTAAAAGACGATAAGCAATAAAAATGTGTATAATATCTATATATGCTGCAGTGAGTAAAATCGCGCAAGATTCATCAAATAGTAAATAAAAGCTCAATAAAAATCTGACACCCCCCCAAAAAAATGCTTGCAACATATAAATATATATTAAAAAGATTTTTTTAATCCATTATTTTTTATTATAAACTTTATTTTCTTCTTAATCATTGACAGTTTTGAAACATGGGAAATCCAGTGTTGCGATGTTATATATTTTTAAAAACACAATCATAATATTATGCTCTACGGTTTTATCGAGCACTGTTTTTTTTAGAAAATAAAATATATGCTAAGAACTTATATATATATATATATATATATATATATATATATATATATATATATATATATATATATATGTGTGTGTGTGTGTGTCTGTGTGTGTGTGTATATATATATATATATATATATATATATATATATATATATATATATATATATATGTGAAAATATATAGAAAATAGGAAAGAACTGGTTAGGTAGATCCAAAGTTCCTTAGTATTTTAGTTATTATTTTTAAAAAATAGTGCTCGATACAAATGTAGAGCATAAATATAATTATTTATTTAAAAATATGATTCCAACTCGCGATATAAGAGGTCTCTTGTTTCAAAACAAGAGCCGAAAACTTCAATATAATTATTTGAATTAAATTGAGTTAATGAAAGCTCTGTTCCATCTTTAAGCGAAATTTTTTTTTTTTTTTTTTTTGTGGGGGAATAACTTATTTCAGAAATTTACGTGTTTTAATATTAAACTATTCGCCCTAGCTGTTACCATGGAAATTTTGATTTCAATTATTAAAACACGTAAATTTCTGAAATAAGTTATTCCAAAAAAAAAAAAAAAAAAATTCGCTTGAAGATGGAACACAGCTTTCTTTAACTCAATTTAATTCAAATAATTATATTGAAGTTTTCGGCTCTTGTTTTGAAACATGTGGCCTCTTATGTTGCGAGTTGGAATCATATTTTTAAATAAATAATTATATATATATATATATATATATATATATATATATATATATGAGAGAGAGAGAGAGAGAGAGTGAGAGTGAGAGAGAGAGAGGACAAACATGTAAACTAATAGAAATTTGACATGCTTGGCTATTTATTTAGAGAAATTTTCTTTCCCTTTATCTATTGTGGGAAAGTTAAGGTATGTTAGTGTACTCCAACCGGATTCTTAACTGCCACGTATCAGTAACAGGATGATTGATTCATCATTAAAACTGGTTCGCAATTATTATGACACAGCCCACTAATTTTTTACGAGCAGCAATTAGAAATTATTCATTTCATCCTCTTATATTAGGTTGGTGCAAATATAATGACGTAATAATATCGTTTTTAACGTTAAAAATACGTCAAAAAAAACAACATTATTATGTCATTATTTTTGCATCAACCTAATATATATATATATATATATATATATATATATATATATATATATATGTACGCTATAAATCGATACACATATATATACATATATATTATGAATATATATTTATACATATATATATATATAAATATATATATATATATAAATATGTTATAAACATATATTGTAAACATATATATATATATATATATATATATATATATATATATATATATATATATATATATATATATAAAATACCGGGATGTCTATTTTAATCATGGGCATTTTGTGAAAATAATGTTTGAAGTAATGAAAATGGATTAAAATAAATTCAATAATTCTTTAGAAATTTACTGATACTGTACACATTTATATGTATACTCATATTCACGTATGAATTTCTTACAATGTTTATTAATACTTAAATATAGATTCACAGGCATTCGGTATAGGTTTTCGTTATACGCTACACTTTGTCTGGCAAAAGGCCAAACACTTTCCATATTTATGGATATTTATGTGCGTGTAAATGAATATAAGCCTGAATAGCTGAATGTGTTGTTATTTTATAATATGATGTTTACCGAAATCGCCACACATGACCAAAGTAATATTTTCAAAACAATACTCCTACCTATGACAATCCCGCTAATTACTGCCGACATGAATAGTAAACTAATCTTTTATTGTAATGAGAAGTTATAGTCAGGAAGACTCCGGCTGTCGTTGTTCACAATGGACAGTGGGCAAGGGCTTTGCCATTTCCAACAAAGGGTGTCCATTCCCTTATTGACACTATATTTGAATCTATAGTCTTTTTAAACATTCTTTTTGTCCAATTCTTCTTCATGTACCGTGTCCCTTCAGGACGTAGGTGATCATGTCTCTCCACAATTTCCTACCCTTCGTAACTCTTAATAAATGTTGGATGTTTCTTATTCCTTATTTACTCTTTTCCTTTTGCCCTGAATCTGACTTGTGAGTATCTGTTATAGTGGAACACACCTATTCTATAGTTAATGGACTCTCCAACCTATAATAAGTAGGAGTAGTAAGAGTAACAAGTCAGTCGATGCCAGATGACCGGCTGATCGGTTGAACTCTCTGCCTTCGGGCGGGTAGGAACCCGAAGGAGGCGACGCCAAAGCCGTTTATACGGGTTCAATGGGCATATTTTGGGCCGAGCCCACGGGCTCGGAGATCCCACGTTAAACCGACCTTGTGCCACATGATGCCCTCGTGGTGGGGTGACTAAATATCGTCGGAGAGAGTTGGTCAGTCATTCGACTGGCTGATCGGTTGAACTCTCTGCCTTCGGGCGGGGAGGAACCCGAAGGAGGCGACGCCAAAGGGTGGATTCTCTTTCGGGGAGGTAAACCGACCCTGAACCCGTTTATACGGGTTTAATGGGCATATTTTTGGCCGAGCCCACGGGCTCGGAGATCCCACGGGCTCGGAGATCCCACGGGCTCGGAGATCCCACGTTAAGCCGGCCTTGTGCCACATGATGCTCTCGTGGTGGGGTTACTAAATATCGTTGGTCAGTCAGTCGATGCCGGACGACCGTTAGTCGGATACTAAAGTATCAGTGACCGCAACTAGATTTCTCTGCGTCATTACCTATTATATCACGTTCCTAACGTTTTGTACGTCGAACCTATTTTAGGACCGACTTAGTACAAAATACAAGCCTCCACTGTGAAACCACTACATAACAGTATCAGATTTCCGAAGCCTTCTTTCCTCGTGAAACGTCCTAAAAATTTCAATTTTCTCTTTCTGATATTAAGTATAAGTGTCCTTTTTTGTTTCTGTTTTATCCAATTGCTCACAATTTCGGTTTATGTTAATCTCAGCATCCTTCTGTTGAATCATATTTCTCTTGCTTTAAGACTCTTCTTCGTCTTTGAAGAGACTTTTTAGCATTCACTGCCATATAGAAGGAAAGATATTCATAACTGTTCAGTACTCTTTTTTCTTTGTTTCTAATAAATATTTCTTAACACTGTGATTAGCTTTTGGCATGAGTCTTTGACTCTCCCAATGCACCTTCGGATTTCAGTGTCAGTTTCTGTTAAAACACTTTCCAGATATTTAAATTTTTGTTCTTGTTTGATTAACGTATCTCCGATTTATAATTTGCGTTTTGGCACATCCTTTTGTTAATAACTATTTTTTGTGTTTTTTTCCCGCGTCTGCTATCAACACTGTGTCACTAGCATATTTTATATTGTTAAAATTGTGGCCGCCAATGATGGTAGGACTACTAATTCTCTCAGAATCTCGTGGTTGTATGGATTGAACAATTCCAGTGAGAAAACACAAGATATAACTTCAGTTAGAAATATTCTTCCTTTCAGTTAAATTTTCTCTGATTACTTTTCTTCCTTTTTGAACAAGGGCATAATATATAAAATACATATTGAAATGACGAGAGAAAGAAAAATAATTGTATGGAGGAAATTTTAAGAAGATGAAGAAGAAATAAATAATAATAATAATAATAATAATAATAATTGTTATTAAAGACCACAAACAAAAACGGTACCTCCTTATTGATATGGCAGTCCCTGCTGACTGCAATGTATCTTTGAAGATATTCAAAAAGCTGTCAAAATACAAGAACCTTGAAATAGAAATCTCGAAAATGTGACATATGAGAACATCAACAATCCCTGTTGTAGTTGGAGCCCTAGGACTGGTTGGAAAAGATTGCAGTAGATTAATTGAAGGGTTTCCTGGAAGTCCATGCCTCAAGGAGATACAAAAAATTGTTCTGACAAGTACAGACCACACTTTACGAAGGGCTTTATCTATGTCATTTTTTTTTTTTTTTGTCAGTGGAAAGTGTCATGACGCCATGTCTAACCTTAGGTCCCTGGGCGGGACTCGGAAAGAAATGTGTAAAAGCCAGAAATCAAAGATAATAATAATAATAATAATAATAATAATAAGAA